AAACCTTAGCAGTCAAAACTTCAAGGGGCTTCTGAAATGCAAGAATTTGATGTGATTCTGTTTCAAGTTGATAGAAAAATCAACTTGGATTTTCCTGGCTATGTAGTGCTGCTGTGCAGGCAGGGCTGAACAAATCACTGAAAGGCAAAAGTCATCTCCATTTCACAAACTTTTGCATTATTTTACAGATGGTCACCTCGCCAGAGTATGAAATTTGAGGTGCTAACAAATTTGTTTGCATGACAATTTGCCATTAGAATGGAAAATACATTGTTGATGCACCTTAGAAAGTAGTAATAGTCTATTTAGAAAATAAGATGGGAAGAAGAATGATCTGTTTAGTAACTAGCCATATTATGAAAATGCGGTATGAAAATATATTAGAAAAAATATGCTTGTGGTGCAGATACGTTGGTGAAGGATTTTACCTAGAGGTACACTACATATTATTTATGACAAGACTAGAGACAGGAAATGAGGGAAGTCCTTGCTGCTTTGGAGGCACAAGGAATTGTGCTCTTACCCCATCAGTTGATTTGCCTCATCTGCCCTGAATTTTCTGCTTTGCGTTGTAAAATGTTGGTCTGTGTGATGCATGTTCCCAGATCAGTTTTCCCTGTGAAGAGACTTGGTTCTTTTCTAGCTACTTACCTTAAGCAAACTGCCAAAGAAAGAGGCTTCTCTGATTTTTGTAACATGACTGTTAGTGTAGCCTGTGATACCATGTTCCAGTTAGTTTTATGTAAAACAGTTGGTCTTTGTAGGCTTTGTAGCAGTCTCTGTAGGCTTTGTAGTGTGGTCATGTCTGTTCTGCAATGGTTTAGTCCAGGCCAGTTCCTAAGAAAGTCTTGTGTATTGACACAAAGCACTCTGGACAGTTTTAACTAGCCCAGGAGAACAAAAGAGATTCAGTCCAAGCCTAGTAGCCTAATGAAATATCGGCTTTCATATGTTTTGTGAAGTCTTACGGCTTTTCAGTAGGATATCAGAGAGCTTGAAAATTCCTATCTGTGGGGAGAGGAGCACAGAGCAGTCAGAAATACCCAGACTTATGGAAGACTGTTGTATTTTTTGCTTGCAGATGAAAAGTGGCTGTGCATGTGTGCTAGGTCTTGCCCAGTACATAACTAGTTAAGATTCTTTTGCGAATCTGAGCACAGCCTTATTCCCAGTGGCTTGAAATAGAGTAGTCTTGGAAGGCTGTAGCTGTCCTGACTGATGTTCTGGGAGGAATCCTATTGTACAGGGTTTTTTTTTTATGCCTATCATGTGTCCAAAGTTTGTTCTCACGTATTCATTAGGCAAATTTCTTTAGGTAGCCAAATGTTTTTCATGTTAATTGGCATGCAGATGGCTGTGGAACTTGCCCAGATCTGACTAAATGATATTTCTTTGTTTGATGGACATTCCTGTAGTTTCTTAGTGCAGTTTCCAACCCCTATTGTTGGGGTTGTTTCTTATAGATATCGATCTGGTTGACAAATTGTTCCTTCTCCTTTCTAATTTTTCAGAACACAGTGAAGGCTTCTAAAGAAATTAGGGTTTGGTTGTTTTTTTTTTTTTAATTTTTTTTTATTGAACAGATGATCAGAGCAGCTAGATCCAGTCTCCACTTGGCTTGGTGTGTTGCCACTGGTAATTCCTGGGAGTGCTTCTTGATTTCTGGGCTTATTGCTGTTCCAGGGTTACACCTCTCTAGTGGTGTGAGAATAGCCGGCCTCCAAGAAACAGTTATAAGAAAAAAAGCAAAAATGATGCTGTGGTGCACAGGGCTCATGTGAGCTTTAAATATATGAGCAGGAGTATATTACATTGATGATTTTAGTAGGGTGTAGTGCCGTCCCTGAGGTAGAAGCTTTTTTTCTCTCTCAAGGCTGTCTTCTACATTTTCAGAAGGTTGCTGGAAAAATTGTCAGAGAAGAAGGGGGAAGGGCACAAAGAGTGGTGACTTCCAGCCTAGTCTGTGGAAGTTTCTTAAACAAAAGGTTGTCTTGTACATTAATGGAAAGGGGTAATGCCGGTAGTGTTAAAAAAAAAAAAAAAATCAACATCAAGCTGCTAAGTGTTTGTAGTGGTTTTGGAGCCAAAATACAATTCCTATGCTAATATACATGTATGTGTATTTCTGGTTTTGATTGTAAGGTGATGATTGGGAGATCATTATATTTGTCACATGGAAAAATGTGTTTGTTTAACTAATGCATAATTGCATGATTCTCAACTAGCCAGTTTTGTGTGCTGCAAGTAATTTGCAATCTAAATAAATATTTAACTTGTGCTGAAGGAGCACAAGTTGCTCTTGTACTTCTTAAGGGGTGTGGTAGCAGCAGCGGGACATGGGATGCAAATCAAAACTAATTCAGAGTTGAATTATTCATTTCAAAGTAGCATTTATGCAGTGTATTATAGATTCTTGATAAACCAGTACGGTACTGTTTGGAGCATTATTTACCTAACAGAGTTTTGAGAAGCAGATCTATGACATTCATAATTACTTATATATCCACAAAGATCAGTGGACAAATGAACAAATTGATAAGGCAGCAATCTCTTTTTCATTAAAATGGAATAAATCATTGAAGAGACATGTCTCTTCAACTTGGTGTCCTGTAAAACTGTTAAATAATAATGGGAGATGGTTCCAAGCTAACATTTGACATCTTTTTCATCTTTTGAACATTAGATAGCTGAATCACAGCCACACAGTGTAGTTCTGTAGAATAGATTGTCCCTGTTTTTTTTTTTGTTTGTTTTTTTTTCATTGGCATAGAAGCATAAATTACAGAAAGCGGGCTGTGAAGTCATTTTTCTTGGATTTTAATATTAAGTAGTCCGAGACGGGATTGCTTGTCTCTCATAATTGTGAATGTATTACTGCTTAGCAATGAGCAGTTTTTTTTAGAAAATGGATTTGGTTCTGCTAACTAAAAAAAATAACCCTGCCTCTCACAATACCCATTATCATAAAAATTACCCTCAAAATCATATTTCTGCAAGTTCTAAGTATGTTAAAGAACCCTTTTCATTGTTTCTAGTCTGAAAATACACTTTTTAAAGGGAACTGGGACAGGAAACCTATAATCTCTTCTGTATATTGTAGATCACATCAGGCAGAGTGCATACCTGCACTTACGCCCCCATGGTAAAGGAATTCTTCAGGCTGTTCAGTGAGTTGTTGTCCTCTTCAGTGCGTCACAGTCATATCCTTCCCACTGTGTATAGTGTGTTGTCTTTGTTACTGAAGGATGAATTCTGAGTAAAATACTTGCCCCTGATAGTCTCATCTTCAGAAAAAACTGGCCTATACTCAAGGAATTTTGCAGACACCTGTATGACTTGGAAAACGCATTAGGGCGTGATCTGAATGTTTCAGTTTGTTCTGGGCATCTTCTTTACTTTACGTGTACGTCATTTCCATGTTGCATTTACCCATCTTTGCAAGAGCATTGCTACGCACAGCAGATGTATGATTACCAGAAGAATTTTATTTTTCAGGTGAGAAATGGGAGGCCTTTTATTATGAAGAAAAACTGAGTAATAACCAGTGTAGGTGGGATATTAGGTGTACCATTAACTATACACAGGAAAGAAGTATTGAAAGATGTCTTATTTCAGTTTTTAATACATATGTGAGCTTATTCTGAATAAAAGTAATAAAATAATCTTTTCTGGTTTTGTGATTAATCCAAGTTTGTGATAAACTCTGGGCATTGGGTTGTAGTTACTCATTTTGCTGCAAAATTAACATTTTTGTCCAGTCTCACCATTGGCATATCTGGTTTTGTCTGCTTGGCCATTAGTAATTAGGTAGTATGCTGGTGTTTGGCTCTATTTACATAGGCTAAATCACTCAGTATGTCTTCTGAAACTTTTTCCTTTACACCACTTCTGGTTGTAGTGTGAATGCAGTCTCAACACGTGTGTCTGGTTAAATGCTTTGCCTTTTGAGAGTAAGGATTTGCCTTTTCTGCAAGTCTTTTCGCGGGTTCTTTTTCCCCAGAGCAATAACCTTGGGCACCATGGTGATGGTAGTGAAGTGGCAAAAAAGCTGTTGTGCTGCTACCAAGTTTTATTAAAACTTCTTCTGAAATCCTGTTTTTCATGCTTCCCTCCATCCCATCCCCCTGCTTTCTTTTTGGTTTACATGTCTTGGCATTGAGTGAACTGTATTCGTGAATCTATTTGAAAGACAGTGGTCGTTAGTAATTAACAATACGGTTCATTCCTTAATGTTCGTTGTTAACAGAACACACTTATTGCCTTGGAAACACTATTAATTAGAGTTGAGTGAAGTATACAGAACTAGATGTTAACTATCTTTTTTCGTTTAAAAAAGAGTTTAGTGATTTTTGGTGTGGATGGCTGTATTCTTTTCTCTTTTTCTATGCCTTTTAATTAAAGTGTGAAAGGAATAAAAAAAGACTATTTCTTAATTTTTAAGCTGTATGTTCTGAAGAAGAATACAATGTATAATGTGATTAAACTTCCATATATACACACGCATGGAGGCATGCACAATCTCTTCAGAAGAGTTAGTTACACAACACGCTCATGGAAACTCAGTCATTTGCTCAAAAGGCAGCAGAACAGAGCTAGTACGGTTTTGATATGAAAATGTTTCAGCTGTTAGGGCAGGGCATAGTTGGTGTGTGCAGGGCAGGCACTGGTGAGCACTAGCTGAGCCCTGTCCCTCTGTCTGCCAGGCACTGTTGCCCACTGACAGGGCTGCTGGGCTTCCACCCTGTGAGCAAGAGACTGGTTGCTCACTGGTTAGAGCATTTGAATAGGAAGTTTAAGGAATGTGCTTTACCTTTTTTTTTTTTTTTTTTTTTTGCCTTGGGCAACACTCTATGCACGTGACTGAATACATTCAGTTGATGATACTGTGTCTCAGCAGAGTTCATCCTGGGAAGTGAGATTCAAGCTTATCGAAAGGAGTTATAGACTTGCAAAATAATAAAAAAATCACACACCAGAACCTCTTTTCTTCACAAATACAGGTTGGTGATAATTTGCCTGTGGTTGTGGGGAGGCTAACTCCACTGCTTCTTGTTGCTTTGGAAATCTGAAGTTAATGCTCATGAGAAGTAAAGCCAGAGAACGTGAGTTACTCAGTGTGCCTGAAATCTACAGAGCCAGCAGTGAAAAGGCAGACCTTCTCTTTGAAGCACTGGCTTTAGCTGTGACTTATTCTGTGCACTGGGAACTGAGAGCAATAGCGCTTAACCTAGGAAAAAATGCCAGCTAAAGGTAAATACTTCTTCAATGAAACTGATGACTGTAGGATGTCAGACCCACTCTGTGAGAAGTACCGCTATACGAGCCAGCAGCACCCACTCCTCCTACTGCTGCTCTTCATTGCAATCATCTTCTGGACTACTCTAATTATAGTCTTTTTTACCACTGAGGTGAGTATATCTTTTTCTTTGCGTTTGATATTTACAAAGATGATAAGTTGCTGTAACAGCACACGAAACACTTATCTAAATAATTTTTTGGGCTGCATGGTTATCAAAGTTGCAGTGTTGAAAGAAATCAAATAATTATGTATGTAATGTTGTGTATGTTTTGAAGGGACAGGGAAGAGAGGAGAGTGTTTACAGGCACATGCAGTTACTATAAGTATTGTTCTTGTCTTCCTGTATGTTATGAAAAAATCATAATTTATGCTAAATGGTAGCTATGATAGTAAATTAGTAATAAAGGGACCAAAGAAGGAACAAGAACGTAAGTTAAAATGTACTTAATTTCTCATATTTTGTTTTTTAGAGTCAGCTAAGAAATGTGAAATAATATAGTGATTCATTGGTTATGACTTCTTGAGGTGATTTTTTTTGTTTTGTTTTTATTTAAGCATTTGTAGATATTAATTCAAACACAACAGGAATCTCCCAATACAATGGGTGACCCATTGAATCAATAGTTAGTAAAGAATAGGGATCCTGTAGGCATAGGAAAGATGCAGCTTAAAGAATTTGTTGTTGCATAGTATAAACTTTCTGTAAAGAAATTTAGTGTCCAAGTCAGTCCAGTTGGCAGCTGTTGAAAAGGGGAGTTGATTTAAAGATAATGTAAAAGGTAATAAGGGAGCTGTTCTAATCCTTCACTGGCTTCTAAAACAGCTCTCCAAATACTGTGCTTCATGATAAAGTGCCTTTATGTCTCTCTAGCAATGAATCTAATCTTACCGATTGCATTTGTATCCCTTTTAGCTTTTATTATCTTAAAAAAAGAAAGAAGTAGCAATACTACTTATATGTAAGAAGTCATCTCCTGTAAAACTTCAGGAAAGAGCTGTTGAACAACTTTTTAGTAAAGCTTGAACTCTTCAAATGCTTTAATTTGGGTACACCTGCATTGTACAATATAGTGTAGTTAGACCTTAGCTTAAAAGACAAACCTGCTAATTTTGGAAATAATAATGGTGGAACTGGGGTAGACTGGGTATCTATAATAGTATTTATTATATTATCTCTGTGTGTGTGAATATGAGGAAGTGCTAATGCTGCCAAAGTTAGACTACTTAGGAACTCAGGTTAGCATATTTTAAAGCTATCTAAAGCTGTTTCCAGGACAGTATAGTATAGCATTTTATGGTTTGTGTGTTTTTTTTTTTTTTTTCTGTTTTTTTTTTTTAAGGGGACATTTAGACCAACTGTAACACTTTGTTTTCCTTTTGCAGGAAGCACATAATCATCTTGCCTTCATTATTGCAGTATGTGCTGCTCTTGTCATATTTGCAGTCATGTACTTACTTTTATGTATTGAATCCCTGTTTCGGAGGTGGCTGATGCTATTTGGAGTTATGATTTGGGTTTGCTTCTTAATCGTAGGATATGTATCACTTTTTGAAAGAGAAAATGATTACCAACTGTGGGAACAGGTGTGTATATCTTGTTTATTCAGGTACTTACCTGAAACTTCTAGCCAGTATATATGAATGTGTTTTGTGGGCTTTATTTTTGCTGAATATTATAATTGCATAGTAATTTTTTTGTGAGATTTAGATTCATGTTCCTAAATTGGTTTTATTAGTTTATTTTAGTAAATTTTAGCTTGTATTCTTTATTATAATGAAATACAGTTCAGCTGAGAAAATTGGATCACTGTATAAATTTGTGTAGGAATTGCATCATGAAGTTATAATTAAATTGTATTTTTATTTGTCTCTTGCTGAATCTTAATTACCCTGAATTCATCTTTGAGAGAATTTTTCATGAATAATACTTGCTTTGTTAATTTATAGGGTCGAAATGGTGTTCAAGAAATGTATAAAGGAGTCTAGAGCTGGGTGTGCCCTAGGGAGCCTGTTTTCAAGTGAACAATAAGAATTAGTGACACATCCTGGCATAGCTGGGTGTGGCTAAAGTCCATTGCTCAGTATCTCTGATCAGAAGACTGGCGATATCATGATGCCAAAAATACCATGATCTGTAGGAAACTCCTCCTAAGATCGCATAATGTAAACAGAAGAGGTTTTAATTGAAATAAAAATTACTTTTTATCTTGTTTTGCTGACTATTCCCCTCTTTATTTCAAATAACGAAAGATTTAGCTTATCAGTTAAACAGTCAAAATCTGATTTGTGTTATGGCCTAGAGCCAGCACTGTGTATTTACAGTTGCTGTTCAGTGTTTTTTAACTTAAGGAAGAACCTATTAGTTTAGGAAAAAAACAAAATTCAGTGTTCTTAACAAGCATGTAACGAAGCAAGATTTGGTTTTGCTGCTTTCAGTGCTGCAAGCCACTGTCTTGTGTTGTCATGTGATAATAATTCATTATTATTGATTTAAAGCCTAAAATATAAAGAGATGTTAGATTAGAAAGTAGAACTAAGCAGGTGCACTTAAGACTTTTAAGTTACGAATTTATCACTAATTAAAGCTATTACTTAAAAGCAGGTATGACCTTTACTTGTCCATGCTTATAAAACTGTTACACAGTGTTTAGAACATTGTGTAATAGGGCTTGTACATGTGGCAGAAAAGGTATTTTTCAGTCCACCTAAATTGGTAAACATCATAGAGTCATGGAATGATTTGGGTTGGAATGAAAATGAAAAGATAACTTTGGTTGAATGAAAACTTATATTCTTGTTTGTTTATTGTTGTCCCAGTAAAGCTATCAATTCTGGCAAATCTTTTAATGCAGACTGCGCCTTCACAGTATCACAGTATCACAGTATGCTGGAGATTGGAAGGGACCTCAAAAGATCATCTAGTCCAATCCCCCTGCCAGAGCAGGAACACCTAGATAACGTTACACAGGAATGTGTCCAGGCGGGCTTTGAATGTCTCCAGGGAAGGAGACTCCACAACCTCCCTGGGCAGCCTGTTCCAGTGTTCCGTCACCCTCACTGAGAAGAAGTTCCTTCTCAAGTTTAAGTGGAACCTCTTGTGTTCCAGTTTGCACCCATTACCCCTTGTCCTATCATTGTTTGCCACTGAGTAGAGCCTGGCTCCATCCTCGTGACACTCCCCCTTTATATATTTATAGGCACTTATAAGGTCACCCCTCAGTCTCCTCTTCTCTAAACTATAAAGACCCAGCTCCCTCAGTCTTTCCTCATAAGGGAGATGCTCCACTCCCTTAATCATCTTGGTTGCCCTGCGCTGGACTCTCTCCAGCAGCTCCCTGTCCTTCTTGAACTGAGGGGCCCAGAACTGGACACAATATTCCAGATGGGGTCTCACCAGGGCAGAGTAGAGGGGAAGGAGGACCTCTCTCGACCTACTAACCACCGCCCTTCTAATACATCCCAGGATGCCATTGGCCTTCTTAGCCACAAGGGCACAGTGTTGGCTCATGGTCATCCTGTCGTCCACTAGGACCCCCAGGTCCCTCTCTCCTACACTGCTCTCTAGCAGGTCGTTCCCCAACCTATACTGGAACCTGGGGTTGTTCCTGCCCAGATGCAGGACTCTACACTTTCCCTTGTTATATTTCATCCCGTTATTCCCTGCCCAACTCTCCAGCCTGTCCAGGTCTCGCTGGATGGCAGCACAGCCTTCTGGCGTGTCAGCCACTCCTCCCAGCTTAGTGTCATCAGCAAACTTGCTGATAGTACACTCAATTCCCTCATCTAAATCATTGATGAATATATTAAATAATACCGGTCCCAGTACTGACCCTTGAGGCACTCCACTAGTTACAGGCCTCCAACTAGACTCAGCCCCATAGACTACAACTCTCTGGCTTCTCTCCTTCAGCCAGTTCGCAGTCCACCTCACTACCTGGTCATCCAGTCCACACTTCCTCAATTTAGCCGTGAGGATGCTGTGGGAGACTGTGTCAAAGGCTTTGCTGAAGTCAAGGTAGACCACATCCACCGCTCTGCCATCATCCATCCACCGCGTTATTTCCTCATAAAAGGCTAAGAGATTGGTCAAACATGATTTCCCCCTGGTGAAGCCATGTTGACTGCCCCTCATAACCCTCTTATCCTTGATATGCTTTAAGATGGCACCAAGGACAAGGTGTTCCATCACTTCCTTTAAAGAAGCTCATGTCTGGAATGACACAAGTTGAGTTGCAGTGATGAGATGGAGCTGAACCAGGAACACAGCAATATTTTCTAATTACAGAATCACAGAATCCTAAGGGTTGGAAGGGACCTCCAAAGATCATCTAGTCCAACCCTCCTGCAAGAGCAGGGTAACCTAGAGTACATCACACAGGAGCTTGCCCAGGCGGGCCTTGAATATCTCCAACGTAGGAGACTCCACAACCCCCCTGGGCAACCTGTTCCAGTGATCTGTCACTCTCACAGTAAAGAAATTTTTCCTGATGTTCACATGGAACCTCCTATGCTCCAGTTTACACCCATTGCCCCTTGTCCTATCACTGGACATCACTGAAAAAAACCTAGCTCCATCATCCTGACACTCACCCTTTACATATTTGTAAACATTGATGAGGTCACCCCTCAGTCTCCTCTTCTCCAAGCTAAAGAGTCCCAGCTCCCTCAGCCTCTCCTCATAAGAGAGATGTTCCATTCCCTTAATCATCTTTGTAGCTCTGCGCTGGACTCTTTTCAAGCAATTCCCTGTCCTTCTTGAACTGAGGGGCCCAGAACTCGATACAATATTCCAGATGCGGCCTCACCAAGGCAGAGTAGAGGGGGAGGAGAACCTCTCTTGACCTGCTAACCACACCTTTTCTAATGCACCCCAGGATGCCATTGGCCTTCTTGGCCACAAGGGCACCTTGCTGGCTCATGGTCATCCTCCTATCCACCAGGACGCCCAGGTCCCTTTCCCCTTCACTACTGTCCAGCAGGTCAGCCCCCAACCTGTACTGGTACGTGGGGTTGTTCTTCCCCAGATGCAAGACTCTACACTTGCCCGTGTTGAATTCCATCAAGTTCCTCTCCATCCAACTCTCCAGCCTGTCCAGGCCTTGCTGAAGAAGGGTTGAAGGGTTGTTAATTTCCATATATATGAGCTAAACACTATAGCAAAGCTCTAAGTATGGATTTAATTTTTATAGACCTTCCATCTGTTCCCTAGCAGTTTAGTGGACCATTGTGCATTTTGTAAAATCTGTGCAGCCAAATATGTAGTTAGTGGCAATAATGATTATTGTGTCAGCAACAGTAAGTGTTGGTTGGATTTTTTTTTATTTTTATCAAATACAGAATAAATATATATGTGTGATTGGGTGGTATTAACATTAGAATAATAACTTGGAGAAGGTAAGAAATCTGATTCTATTCAGTATTGCTATCCTTGCAACACACTATTCCTGTTATGTCCCTCCAAGCAATTTTTCCTCTATAGCAGTTCCCTCCAGGCTTTTAGGACTACCACTGTCCTTATGGTTTTAATTGTGCTTTTGGAAATGTCAACATTTAATTGTTCATTAATTGTTTAATTTAATGAGCAAGAATCCTGCTACTTTTGTCCTTATTCTGTAGTGATTTTTTGACAGGCACCTCATATCATGTATGTGTGATTATTTTCCTTTTTTAAATTTCTTTCTATCTTTCTTTCCAAAGGTGCCATTCTTTCTATTCATAATCTTCACAGTTTATACCATGCTACCCTTTGGGATGCGAGGTGCTGTCATAATTAGCATTCTTTCTGCTCTCTCCCATATTATTGTTCTAAGCATTATGGTAAGCATGACTTCTCAAGAAAATAAGGAATCCATTCTATTTCAGGTAAGGAAATACTCCTTGTTAAGTAATTAAAAGCTGTGGTCTTATCACTATTTGATATTGGCATAACTATCCTGTTTAAATAAGTTCCAAGCTTCCACATGGATCTTTCACCTACATGCATTTGGAGGTTGGGCCCAGTGTGGTTTTCAGGCTTTTCAGAAAATTGCAGTTATTTTAATCTCAAATGAATTTTGGTTTTCTGACCTAAGTGGAAGAAGAATAATTATTATTTTAATTTCTTTATTAGGTAACTCAAAATATGTCAGACTTTGTCACAGTCTTCTTCCCAGTCTGTGCTGTTTCAGATGGGTTTGTCTAATTTCACCTGGCACTGCCTACTGGGTGGATCAAAAGGGCTTTTGCTGCCCTGGGGGGTTAGTAGGACCTGGAAGTGCCACTCTGTGTTTTTTTTCATAAGTTTCACCAACACTTATTAGTATAGTGTGTTGAAAGGAGCACCCCATCTCTTCTGATGCAAGTGTGTTTGCACGTTTCTGCCTGTATCAAACATTTGTGCCTGCAAATAAATGCTAACTGATATAGCAGAATTTTCTGTTTCATTATACTACTCTACGTTTGGACAGGAATGTCTGTGACTGTGCAAATTAGCTGATATCCCCTGGTGCATCTTGGCTAATTGCAACACTGAGATTTTGTGTGTGACGGGGTAAATTGCATGCGGCTTGGGGTAGATAGTTTTTCAGGGACTAGCATATATGTTAGTGAAGTATCAATGACTGCTCTGCAATAGATAAATATTTTTCTTCTGTGCAGCTGTTTGCCAATGCTATCATTTTCTTTTGTGGTAACTTGATGGGTGCATTTCACAAACGCCAAATGCAGGTTGCTTCGTGGGATTTGTATAGATACACCTTAAAGTGCATTCAGGTCCGAATGAAATTGAAGATTGAAAAGAGGCAACAAGTGAGTGAACTAATTCATATTATGAATTGTTTGTTTTAATTTCTGAAGTCTGTATAATTTTATAAAGTTGGTGACTAATGCATGTTGGAAGGGTTGGTCCAATCTTTGAGATACCCACCTAGTGTCAAAAACAAAAGTTGTGCCATTTGTAACAAAAGAAGGAAGTTAAAGGGAGGAAGCTGTTCTCTGTGGCTTGTCTATATGAAAATCACTGTATTTGTAACAGGAATGTAATTTCCAGTTATTTTAGGTACTTTTTTCCAAGTGTAAGATGTTACTAGAACTGGCCCAAGGTAACTTAAAAGAACATGCCCTTGCTGCCCTGAAAAATACTTGTAATTTCAACAGTTAGTTTCATGGTTCCCTTGGTCACATTTTTTTGTTTTATTTGTTCTTGTATTTTCTTGTCTCACAAACTATTTTTCTTTTACTAGAAGAAAATTGGAGCCTAAGGCAGAAAAAGAAACCGTGCAATACATTACCACATTTGAGTATGAAATTGTTTATTTCCGTAAACTCCAGTGGTATTTAAACAATAAGCAAGGAACATAAATTTCTTACCAAGGAAGGATTGTAAAGAAGAATCAGAGCTGAAACTAGGGTGCCTTTCCTCATTTATTCTGGTATAAACAGGGTTAAGAACAGCAGCCCTAGAAGGCTGGTGTGTACTGAGTTCTCTGCCCACAAGTTATTAGGTAAAAGGAAGGGGCTGAAAAGTGACTGACAGGATCAAATTGAAAAGAAGAAAATGCCACAGTGCTAATGCGATCTGTCCTCTGATGCTAATCTTGTGAGATGAGAGGACAAATCTGCATGAAAGTCCTGGCAGAATTTCCCCACACAGCAGCCAGGAAAGCATCTGATCAGCTTATACAGGCACTGTGCTCTCATTCTTTGAGTGATGTGGTAACTTGCATGGTTTTTATGGTTGCTTGTTTGAGGTGTAGATATGGTTGAAGTCCATAGATAGCTTGCTTTCATCTGTGTTGTGATTTGTCAGACAGGTCTGAGTCTCCTTATTGCCACCCAATTTTTCTCTGTGAAGATGATGTGAGAAATGCAGTTAAGTGTTCAACATCACTTCCTTGAAAACTGTGTGTCAGCCTCAAATGTCCCTGTTGCAGTCACTGGGCTGTGCTGTCAGTTTAAATTGCTCCCCAAGGTTGACTTTCCTAGTATTAAAATGCTAGAGGAAGAGAAGGAGGTGTTTCTATTTCTGGGGGCAGTATCAAACTAAATTGTTGTGTATATGTAGTCTAGGGCAGTAATTGATGCTCAAGAGCTCCCACTGCGATCCTAAGGCATTTCATTTTGGTGGCAGGCACTGGTTAAGTAACACTGGCAGCTTACTGCCCTCTGAATGCTGCTGCATTGGGTATTCAGGAAAAGGGGACAGAAAAAGGAAAAGATTTGGTCCAAGAGGACAGCATTTTACTCAGTTACACAATGTGTTGACCTTGCTGGCGATGTCCTCTGAAAAGGTTCCTGCTTGTAGCTGCTCCATGTGACACTTCCTTTTCTCTGGTGGCTGTCTCTGAGGTAGAGTCCTTCCTGGCTTAAAAGTACTCTCTTTTTGTCTTTCTCTTCTGCCCAGCAGCTTAGCAGGGTTGTCTTTTGAAGAAAATACTTTTAAGCCAAAGCCAGTGTAAAACAGTGCACTGGACAGTCAAACAATGTGAGTTTTGAAGACTTCGTATTGTCACTTAGTTCAAAAGACTTTCTTTCAGTGGCATCAGTTCCTTTAAGCTATAGCATGTTGTCGACACTTTGATATCTGTTGCTGCTTTTCCAGCATTTGAGAATTCACCAGGTTTTTAATACTGCATAGTTTTCATTACAAATTATAAGCTTTTATGAGAAGCTTTATCTGACAATGCTAACATAACATTGAGATTGGTGGGCAAAATAAGTGTTCGTTTATCCTGAAATTGTAGTACTGAGTACTGAATTTTTGTGTGTGTCATAGTTACAGAGATATGTCATAGCTAGGTTACAAGGAACAAAAGAAAAAAAAAAGGCAACAACCTTACTTAACTGTAAAATCTGTAATTTTTTGAGAATAGAAATGTGAAAGTCTTTTCTGGGAACCCTGACATACATTACTCAAAGGCTATTTGAATAAAGGCATCTCTCTTTTTCTATTCCTTCTTGCAGTCACTGAAATCCTGCAGTTTCAAATTTACTGTTTTGAGAATTTTGCATCATTGATTTTTTTTATTCTTTTTCCTCTTCTCATTTTAGGAAAACTTGCTTTTATCCATACTGCCGGCTCATATCTCTATGGAAATGAAGCTAGCAATCATAGAGCGGCTAAAGGAAACTAACGATAATAGGCAAATGCATGACAATAACTTCCATAGTCTATATGTGAAAAGGCACCAAAATGTTAGGTAAGTACAAAGTCTAGAAGTAATTGTATTAAGCTGCTGATTCTTAACAATGCATATGGTCCAGTCAAATTAAAATTTAGAAGTAGACTTTTGGGCTGAATATGCATTTTTTCTGTTGTGGGAAGGTAACATGTCATGAACTGATGTGCCATCTTCAAATCAGCTGAGATACTTGAAGCTTTTTTCTGGAGTTGTTTTCCAAGGAGAGAGACACTTTCTATTAAATGCGCTGTAATATTTAAGCTGACTGCGGAATAGACATATCTTCGTATTTCTATTATGTTGATTTTCTCTTTTGTTCCTGTATAGCATTCTTTATGCAGACATTGTAGGATTTACTCGCCTTGCCAGTGACTGCTCTCCTAAGGAACTAGTAGTGATGCTGAATGAACTTTTTGGAAAGTTTGATCAGATTGCAAAGGTAGGTGTTGCAGTTTGTTGTGCAGCAGGGATAAAGGCCACCACTGGAAAAAGAAATTGTCTTTTCCACAAGACAGAAGGCAATTGGTGTTGGTGCTTCTGTATAAATGAAGAACTCTCAGGCACACATTTACATTCATAAATTCAGTTATACTGCATCAGACCAAGATGTTCTTTACTCAGGAGTAATAATTAGTAATGGGTGCTTACAGGAAAATGTAAGAATGGGAAGTCGATTAAAATGGCCCCTATGAAGAGATACCCCTACTACTGACCCTTTAGAATGGCAGTAGTTCTTCCACTTCCAAGTGCTGTTTAACTTCTTTGCAGCGGTAATTGAAAACTTTGGTTTTGAGTTCTCACATTACAGGGACTGTATCATATACTTGTTTGCATGATTTGACTCTATGTGATGGTTTCTGTTACTCCCTAAATCTGATCCTAATCCTAGGCATATGTTCCATCGTAGCCATTGATTTGTTAGTATTATGAGGCAAATACTGCTTTCGGAAAATAAACACTGTGTTTTGTTGCATCTTGTGTGGCAAAAAAAAACCAAAGCCAAACCAACCCAATTTATGCTTCTGGAAATCTAACACTGGTAAAACATAAGTCAAGACTCATGAGTTACTAGCTATCAAAACTTCCCATGGTTTAAAGATGTTGCTTTGATTTCATAATTTACTGTATTTATATATACTCAGTGTAAATCAGAAAAGTAATGGACACGAAAAATCTTGGGGTTGTGAAATTCTAGAAATTCTTCAGAAAAAGTGGAAAAATTCCAAAACCATTAATGTAGCAGAGGAGTGAAATAGCTTTAATTAAACCTTTGTGGATGTCATTGAATAAATTCTTAAATAGATCACTGATTAAAACCTAGCTAAAAACCTAGTTAACAGTTTTGACTAAGTGACATTGCTAAACGTATGTATATGAATTTGGTTGTTGTTAAAACTACTGTAAACAGTTGCTGTAACAAAAGTACTGAGTAATTAGAGAGTCATACTAAATATTGTATAGTTGTGAAGCAGCTATGCAGAACACACAGAATAGGCCATGTCATCTTATTTGCCACGAGTTTTTTATGTCAGAGTAGAAGTAGAGGTTACACATATTTGGTAATTTTTTGCAACTGTTTTTCAGACATAAAAATGTAGAAGATCCTAGATTTTGAGTGATACGTTTCATTTTCTCCTGTCTGCAAGTTGCACAGTTTAAAAAATGTCTGGATTTAGTGAGTCAAGGTCTTTTGCAACCCTGTGGTTGAATGTAAGAAGAGATTCCTGCTTTTTGAGCTATTTTTGTTCTGCTGGGGAGTGTTCTCAGTCATCTTTTCCATACTGTAAAAATGCTGTGGGCTCTGGTTTACCTAGTAAAAGTTGATGGCTAACCTGGACACCGAGCTGGATGCTGAAGTCTAACAGTTCTAATCTATTGCTGGGTTCCCTTGCTGATCATGTAAGCTTGTTGCTTGCTGCAATGCTCAGAACCTCCTGGAGGGTGTAAGATGGTGCAGAATGACAGACATTCTCTTAAGGCTTTGACTGATGAGGGAGAATGGCTTAGTTTGGTGAATTGTCAGTGATTTGAGCTGATTTTTGACTTGATTGAAGAATTGTTGGGCTGGTTCCACAGCAGGGAGGGTTGGGCAACTGAAAGTGTGAGGTGGCTCAAATGAAATCATCTCATCAGTCAAACACTATATAACCTTGCAGAATTAGCCCTGGCTTGCTTGCAACCTTTGTAGTTAAAATTCTTCAAAAGTGCAAAGGACAGCATGAGAAACTCTTTGCTCTTCCCCTTTCCTCCCTCCAGCCAGTCATAGGCAGCAGTATCCTCTGTTGCACAGTTAGGAAAAAGTTTTCTGCTGCCAGATAGTCATGCATGTTTTTCATATTAGAGATAGCAAAGTGTAGTGTCTACAGCTTCCTCTTCAGTCATATTTGAAACAAAAAGTCCCATTTTGTTTCTGCAAAGCTACCAGGTTGGGCAGCTTAATCTGTCACTTCTCTCTAAATTCTGTATGGGTTTTATGATGATGCACAATGTTACATAGGAGGCTGCTGTGCCAAACTTGAGGGAAAGGTAAAGAAACTGCCTCTAGTTCAAGTGTTAATAAAGGCAGAGATTAAAAAATAGACAGGAAGATTTCACCCTTTGGATGCTAAATTCTGTGACAGTTTTATTTTTATTTATAGTTTCTCAGTTGCACACAGTTCCAAGGATAAAGTGAGAAACTAGTAAGATGATTGTATTTCAGAAGTGCTTGAAGTGGTCATTCCTCTTACTCTCCACTGAGCAATACCCAGGCATTTGGATGTGGGAAAAGAGAAATAAGCTTTGCTTTAACAGGGATTGAATGAAGCCTGACTTTCTCAAAATGATACAGACAAGTCCTAGTTTTGGTGTCATTAGCCTACTTGTTTTTTCCTGTTATATATGTTTACTATAATTTCACAGGAGAATGAATGCATGAGAATAAAAATCCTGGGAGACTGTTACTACTGTGTCTCAGGCCTACCTGTGTCCTTACCGGTTCATGCCAGGAACTGTGTTAAAATGGGACTTGACATGTGTGAAGCAATAAAGTAAGTATAGCACAGAAGACTTTTTAACATATTGAGGCTATGAAGATACTGAATAAAGTATTTTTTGTCAACATTCAAAGTAGCTGTAGTTGAATAGTTACACATTGTGTCATAAGTCTTTTGTCTTTTGCACTAAGTGTACAATGAGACTAAATCTTAATGTTATCTCCAGGAGGTGGGGAAAAAATCACAGGTGTAACTTATTCTCTAATACTCTCCTCCCTCCATAGGCAGGTGAGAGAAGCCACGGGAGTGGATATCAACATGAGGGTTGGCATCCATTCTGGGAATGTGCTGTGCGGCGTGATTGGCCTCCGGAAGTGGCAGTACGATGTCTGGTCACACGATGTGTCCTTAGCAAACCGGATGGAATCTGCTGGCGTACCTGGGTGAGGATCTTCCCTGTCAGTGCTAATGCACTCTGTCATTACGGTTTTTATGATCCTGGTTTATGAGTCTGGCATTGTAACTGTGCCATGACACAGACCTTCATAATGAGATGATGACAGTAGGACAAATGTGTACTCACCAGAGCTGTAAAATGCTAATATTTTCTGATTCTGTTTTCAGTGGGCTATAAAATTCTTTTCTTAGGCAAGTGACTGTTTCTTGACCTTCTCTTCATTGGAGAAACTTGTGTGTCCTCAGCAGTGCATTATGTTGATTTAGTTAACTCATGTGGACAGGTATAACATATATTTGTAAATTTACCTAAAGAATACATATACTGTTTAGGTTGACAAGGCAAAGCTGCATATTTAACTAGTGTTTCTGTTAACATTTTGAATATTAATATATTAAATTTATATGGAGAGTGCACCTATATGCACCACCACCAGTGGCCCCCCAAAATGTGAACAACTCAAAATGCAAACAACTCAAAATGCAGTCTGATGAGGAGCATCCAAGCCAGGAGAGTTTGGGGCTGCTGGTTGTTGTGTTTCTCTCTGTAGCATTTGTCATGGGCAGAACAGGAACTAAAGTGAGTGGTCCTGCGTGAAAAAGCTTGAGACAAAGCAGTAATGTAACTTGCCATGTGCTGCTCAGCAGTGCAGAGGATTGGGTTTGAAGCTACTATTCATGCTGCCGTTTTTAAGAAGCTCATTGAAAAGGACAAATACAAGTGCTTTTAAAAATCACCAGCATTTAGAAAAGTATGCTATTTCCCAAGCTGAACTAGGGGATTACAACTAAGCTAAGAAACTTCATCTTCTTTCCTCCCCCATATTGTTTCCCATTTTTCATTACCAAATAAGCCTGTGATTTTGTAGGGTTTTGGTAGTGTGTGCAAATTAGTACTTATTAATTGAATGACATTCATCTGCGTGTATGTTTAAGCATTAAAGTATTGGCTTCTTTTAGAAAGTGATTCTAACCAGGCACATAAAAGGGTTTCTTATTGTTTCTATGCTTCAGTCAGCTTTTAGGTATATGCTTGTAACTTAAAAGTTAATTTCTGCAAAGCAATAAGGGGATATGAATACAAAATTACTTTCTCGCATTAGTGCTCAAAACAGAAAATGAATTCTTGCTTGGTTAAGAGTTGCAATACCATCCACGCCGAATGTTTTAGTGTGTTGACTCAGCACGATTAAACACAAATGCAGAGTTGTAAAGTTTCTTTTGTTGGTAAAGCAAACAACATGACTGAATATGGCATGCAAATATTATTTTCTTAGTCATGTTTAGGACCATTACCTAATCTTGGAAACTTTGTTTATTCCATTACATTCTGCATGCTTATGTTTGATGATCTGTTAAAGATTAAAGCTGGTTGGCATGCTGATTCAGAAATATTACACTTAATGCTTCCTATACCTATATATGTCTAGAGCCCACTTATCATGTGATTCAAAATTAGCCAAAGGAAACCATCAACTGGATGGCATGCTAAGGCACATGAAGATCAACAAGGTGCTTGGTGACAGCCAGCATGGCTTCACTAACGGGAAATCCTGCCTGACCAATTTGGTGGCCTTCTATGATGGGGCTACAGAACTGATGGACAGGGGTAGAGCAGTTCATGTCATCTACCTGGACTTGTGTAAAGCGTTTGACACTGTCCTACATGACATCCTTGTCTTTAAATTGGAGAGACATCAATCTGATGGATGGACCACTTGGTGGATAGAGAACTGGCTGGATGGCCGCACACAAAGAGTTGTCATCAATGGCTCAATGTCCATCTGGAGACCAGTAATGAGTGGTGTCCCTCAGGGATTGGTGTTGGGACTGGTCTTGTTCAACATCTCTGTCGCTGACATGAACAGTGGGATTGAGTGCGCCCTCAGCAAGTTTGCCGATGGCACCAAGCTGTGTGGTTCGGTTGATACACTGGAGGGAAGGAATGCCATCCAGAGGGACCTTGACATGCTTGTGAGGTGGGCTGATGCCAACCTCATGAAGTTTAAGCATGCCAAGTGCAAGGTCCTACACCTGGGTGGGAGCAATCCCAGGCACAGCTCCAGGTTGGGCAGAGAAGAGATTCAGAGCAGCCTTGCGGAGAAGGACTTGGGGGTGTTGGTTGATGAGAAAATGAACATGAGCCGGCTTCAGTGTGCGCTTGCAGCCCAGAAAGCCAACCGTATCCTGGGCTTCATCAAAAGGAGCGTGACCAGCAGGTTGAAGGAGGTGATCCTGCCCCTCTAATCTGCTCTTGTGAGACCTCACTTGGAGTATTGTGTGCAGTTCTGGTGTCCTCAACATACAAAGGACATGAAACTGTTGGAACAAGTCCAGAGAAGGGCCACGAGGATGATCAGGGGACTGGAGCACCTCCTGTATGAAGACAGGCTGAGAAAGTTGGGGCTGTTCAGCCTGGAGAAGAGAAGGCTGTGTGGAGACCTCATAGCAGCCTTCCAGTATCTGAAGGGGGCCTATAGGGATGCTGGGGAGGGACTCTTCATTAGGGACTGTAGTATCAGGGCAAGGGGTAACGTGTTAAACAGGGGAAGTTTAGATTGGATATAAGGAGGAAATTCTTTCCTGTTAGGGTGGTGAGGCACTGGAATGGGTTGCCCAGGGAGGTTGTGAATGCTCCATCCCTGGCAGTGTTCAAGACCAGGTTGGATGAGGCCTTGGGTGATACGATTTAGCGTGAGGTGTCCCTGCCCATGGCAGGGGGGTTGGAATTAGATGATCTTAAGGTCCTTTCTAACCCTAACTATTCTATGATTCTATGACTTGTGGAAGGCTGAGCCTCACAGGGAGGAAGGGTTTCTGTTCATTATGCAAATGTTACATTTGTTTCCTGCTCTGTGGAAAAAAGATGTGTCTGGGGTTCCCCATTCTAATGTTAGCTAGTCCTGCTCGTTTGGAAGCAGAAGTTTTGTCATTAGGAGCAGTTGCAGGTTTTTATTTAAAATAGGAAGTATGTATATTTTGGGTTTCTATAAATGAAGGCGTTTAAAGACTTTTGAAAGGATGCAGAAAAACTCATAACTTTATAAATATTTTCTTTCCATTTCTTGTTCATCTTCCCAATTTTATTATTTGAATTCCTAAAAATGTAATACTCTAGCAAAACAGAAAGGACTAGCATAAAACCAAACTTAAAAATGCGTTTGACCCATTCTAATATCTATATGCGTGAAAGATCAGAACATGGTATTCTCAGGCCTGTAAGCGTAGGAAATTGCATGCAGTAGGGTAGGTATTCTGCAGTAGCATGGGAAGTGCAATGGTGCATGTTACAGCTTGCCTTTAAGAGGCAGCTTTAGCAATTTTGGTTATGTACTGATCCCAGAATCCAGTAAGTGTCAGTAACTGCTGAGAAATCATTGGCATGGTAATTTAAATGGGAAGAAGTTTGCAGTGAGATCTCAAATATCCCACAGTGGTGTGTGATTTGGGGAAAAAGGGAGAGAAAGCTTATTAAAATGGAACATGAGGATAGTGAACAAATTTATTTCCTTTTGAGGTAGGTGGAAAAGTACAGAAAATGTGCTGCAGTACATGAGGATTACAAGGCATCACCCAGGCTCTGTGGGAGAAAATGATGCTTTAGAGCAAGCTTTAAAATTTCAGGTGTGAAGATTCACCTTGATTGCAAAACTACATAATCAGGGTAACAAAGACGACTTTTTTTTTTTTTTTTTTTTTAGGCAATTAGGAGTAAACAAATAAAAACATGCATCCTGTATGTTCCAGAACTCGTATCTTTTGGCTTTAAAAGTATTGAGGAATTTTTCTTCTTCCTTGTGAGAAGCCACAGCCAGTGGTCTCCAGGTCTTGGCTGAACTATCTCCAGGCAAACTTTCATGCAGCATAAGGGAGCAGAGGCAGATGGAATAGTGATCCCCTTGCTTTCTGTAGTTAGGTGGGAGTGCTGCACACTGTCAGCTTCCATTCTGGGAATGTTCCTCCCCAGCTCTGTGCTGATGGATGTAGGACTGGTAGCAGTGTTTAACCCCTCCGTGCCAAAGAATAGTGAGAAAAGCTGTGGGAAGATAACAAACTAGAATATAAGAAAAGAAATACTGTTTAATGAACACACTCAGGTCTCTTGTTGAGAAATTCTGTGGAAAGATTTTACTTACAATTTATTATGGAACTATGTGATTCAGGGTACTGAACTAAGTAATGTTAGAGGGAAAGCGTGACCTGGACAGGCTGGAGAGTTGGGCAGGGAATAACTGGATGAAATATAACAAGGGAAAGTGTAGAGTCCTGCATCTGGGCAGGAACAACCCCAGGTTCCAGTATAGGTTGGGAAACGACCTGTTAGAGAGCAGTGTAGGGGAGAGGGACCTGGGGGTCCTAGTGGACGACAGGATGACCATGAGCCAACACTGTGCCCTTGTGGCCAAGAAGGCCAGTGGCATCCTGGGGTGTATTAGAAGGGCGGTGGTTAGTAGGTCGAGAGAGGTCCTGCTTCCCCTCTACTCTGCCCTGGTGAAACCGCATCTGGAATATTGTGTCCAGTTCTGGGCCCCTCAGTTCAAGAAGGACAGGGAGCTGCTGGAGAGAGTCCAGCGCAGGGCAACTAAGATGATTAAGGGAGTGGAGCATCTCCCTTATGAGGAAAGACTGAGGGAGCTGGGTCTCTAGAGTTTAGAGGAGACTGAGGGGTGACCTTATTAGTGTCTATAAATATATAAAGGGGGAGTGTCACGAGGATGGAGCCAGGCTCTACTCAGTGGCAAACAATGATAGGACAAGGGGTAATGGGTGCAAACTGGAACACAAGAGGTTCCACTTAAACTTGAGAAGGAACTTCTTCTCAGTGAGGGTGACGGAACACTGGAACAGGCTGCCCAGGGAGGTTGTGGAGTCTCCTTCCCTGGAGACATTCAAAACCTGCCTGGACACATTCCTGTGTAACATTATCTAGGTGTTCCTGCTCGGGCAGGGGGATTGGACTAGATGATCTTTTGAGGTCCCTTCCAATCTCTAGCATACTGTGATACTGTAACAGGTACCGAAAAATACTAGCTGCTCCCCTTAGAAGCAAGCTGCTGTTCTTGCTGTGCTATGCTCTCCTCTGATTGTTTCAGAAAAGACAGGCTTTCAGAATTATGCTCCTAGCTGACAAAAAACCTCTTCCATTTTTTCCCTCCAGATGTCTCCTCCCTTCCTCATGCATTTCTAGCATGAGACAGTCCTCTCTTGTGCTTTGTGAGCTTTCCCTGCAGCTCTTCCCATCTGAAACTACCTGCCTGCAAGTTTGTCTTGTCAGTCATCAGATCTCCTTTGATCACATTTATTCTTGTTTCTTATATATCTCTGCTTATTTCAATTTAATTTTATACTGATGCTATCTCATTCTGGAAGTGTTTCTCAGCATTCTATGAAAGATGCCCTGTGAAGAACTGCAGTAAAGGATTGCAAATATGGTTTCAAGCACTGGCAGGATTTTGCAGTTGGCTGCCAAAGCACAAGATGGCTGAAAAGGAGAAATGTAGTAGTGGCCATTGAAATGTAAATGAAATGCTTAATGTGACCTTTCTGTAAGTGTTTTGGTCTCTTGTTCTTTCTCCCCTTCTCAGCCGTGTACACATCACTGAAGCAACATTGAATCACCTAGGCAAAGCATATGAAGTAGAAGAAGGGAATGGACACCTGAGGGATCCTTATCTTGAATCTATGAATATCAAAACCTACTTAGTGGTTGATCCAAGGGTATGTGGTTGTTTTTAAATGTGTATTTATTCAAATATATACATACATTTTAAGGACATAGGTGACTGTGGTACATATACCTTTTAAATTCAGCAGCAGAATTGAAGCATGGTATGGGCCATCTGAGTAGCTTGGATTTGGGACTTCAGATCTGAAAGTACATGCTACTGTTTTATAAGATGTCTTTAGCTTGAAGGTAGTAAGTGTTATGATGAAACCTCTTATGTGGTCAACTCAGAGTAAAAATGCGTATTTGACTGTATTTACGTGAAGTGTGTCTCTCACAAATACAGGTCAAAGGGTGGAATGAAGTCACGAAAGAATACCTGTACTGTGTGACCACCTTCAGAAAGATATTCCCTGTAAAATAGCTTCTGACATCATCTTCCTATCTTGGATGTGAGAGTCACCTTCTTTTCAGAGTATAAAGTTAGCAACTATTGGTTGTCCCTTTAGAGCCTGGTAACCACAGACACCTGGAGTACTGCAGGTTTGAATCCGGTTGTGGTTGATGAGTAAAATATTTCAAAAGGAAAAAGAATGAAAATGACAAAGTTATTTCTTTCAGGATCTTTACAGGAAGGAACAGCATAGAGCCGCTTTTAATTAGCAAGAACACAATCTTTGTTGCATGTTTTATGTACTCAACACTGCAACCCTCCCTACATGTACCCAGCACATATTCTCAGAATAAGGATCTAAGTCTATTAAAATGGTCCCTGCTTACCTGAAGATACCTGTGAAATGTTAGATAACCAGTGGTTGACATAATGGCTTATTCTGCAGTTTTAGCTTCCTTGTAGACCCACAAAGGTATTGCTGTATGCACTGTATATATTGTCTAACTCATTACCTGTGATGCAGGGATATAATCTAATGCTGAGTCTGTAATTTGTGGGATCTTCTCCTAACCACTGTTTTGATACACCCCAGCTCAGGAACTGGGAATCTTTTCCCCTGATGAGGTGCTGACTGCAAGGAATTTTTATCTATTCATAAGATCCTGCAGTCTGTCACACTGTAAATAAAAAAGGAAGTTTGAATGTTGCAATGTTACAAGTGAAGGCTTGTAAAGGCAGATGGAGCAAATTAATTACGTCACAATCTGGTTTAGCTCACATTAATTAAACGAGGTAAAGGAGTTGAGGCTGGCTGACACGTTGCTGGTATGTGTTTAGAGTCCTACTAAATAGTTAGATTAAGCTACTAAAGTATATGTACCTTCATTTGTTTGTAATTTGTGTAATTTTCTTGTTTTTAAATGTGTGTTTTCTGTTAGTCTAAACAATGCATAGCAAATAATCATCTCCCTAAAACAAGAGTTAATGATGGGCTGAAGATGCGAGCATCTGTTCGGATGACACGTTATTTAGAGTCCTGGGGAGCAGCCAGGCCCTTTGCCCACTTGAACCACAGAGAAAGCGTGAGCAGTGACTCTTCAAGTTCACAAGGAAAGCAAAGAAAGGTGAGGTTTGGAGTAGTAACTGTCATCTTACAATTGCAAAATGCTCCTTGTGTCTATGGTGTGAAACTCAAAATCTGAAATGAATTTTGTGGCTGAAATTCTGCTCATGTGTACACAAGAACTAAGTATCTCTGAAACAACTGCTTCTGTCAGAACTTAACAGTATTCAAACTTATCCAATCTATACTCATAGTAAACCTTCAAAGTAAAACTTTGAAATTATCTTCCTTCCTCCACCTCCCACTCCCCAATTTTTCCATCTACGGGTCCTGCTTACATGTGGTTTTGGAAAAAAGATAATTTATCCCAGCCTACAGATGCACACAACATTTACTTAAAATGTACAGAAAATTAACAGTGCACCCACGGGTTCTGCCTGCAACAGGATGGTGTCAGTAAAGGATTTCTAAGGTAATGAATTCTTAAGATTTTTAAGATTTTGGATTTTAAGAAAACTAATTTTTCTTCCTGAAAGCAGAAATGAGATGTGCATGCTTTCTGGTGTGCTCCTGGAGGTGCAGCAAGGCTGTACTACTCTCTGTGGACAGATAGCTGTAGTAAATGTTAAATTAAGTATGGGTCCATTCAGGTTTGTGGAAGCGGTTTTCGATCTACTTGTTTCTGCTGATGTTAATTACTTCTGTCTGTGGAGAAAAATAAGAGGGAATATCTGTTCAATTATTTTTGAGTGATTTCTTTGTCAGAAAACAGTTGTTAAAGCAGAAAACATTGCTGGAAGGATTGATTTTTGGTAAGCTTTTCTACTTGAGAAGGGCTCCTGATTTTTATTTTTGGATAAAAATGGTTTTGACAGTTTCCTGAAGTTTATTTTCAATACTTGTTTGCTATTTACTGAGTGTGTAACTTATTCTTAATTCCTCGTTTGATTTAGGAAATACCTTTGAGTTCCACTGGGCGCCAGAGAAACTCTGATAGGTTTGTCAAGTACTTTCTTCTTTTAAAATATGTGATCCGGTGCTCCTCTTGAAGTTAAGGGTACTGAGGGCATGCGATCTTTTGGCTGATTAATCACTGTTCATACAGTATCCCTGCATTAGAAGGGTTAAGCTAAATCTTTGGCCGTCAAAAGACCTCTCAGTTGACACTTGTTACTGTTAGACTCTAACAGGCTGTAGTCCCCCCACCTTTTTTATCTCGCTGGCCCCTCAGTCATTCATCTTGCATTTTACTTTATGGCCTGTAGCAGGATGGAAGGGAAGTAGGGAAGTAAGAGACCTATAGAGCACTGGAAAACAAATCAAGACACCTCATACATGGTATACCCGTGTGCTACCTCAGCTTTTAGTTTTCTTACTCTTAGATGCTAGTTTTGTTCATGAGCAATATAGTACCAAATAAATAAATTTTATCATTGTATTATAATTAAATACATCTTATGTTTTACAAAATAATGCCTTTGGTTAGTAGTGTTAATGTATGCCATCATACTGTAATAAAAAATTGGCCACTATATGTAGAAAAGCTTACAATGGTACGTGTACCACTGAGTTAACCAAGTAAGTGATTTTTCACTTTTCAGACATTCTTGTAGTTTATAAAAATATTGTCTCCAAAAATGCATGGTTTGAATAACTAGATAAATGCTCAGTAAAGTGCTTATGGATGCATGTTTATCAGTTTGGAGCATTCTTGTTTACTGTCTCTGTGGTAGTTTCCCCCACTTGTGTCATTTGGAATTGTGGCCCCCTGTAGCCATTCCGTGTTTCTGAATAGCATTTGTGACATGGACTTAATTTCTTTCCCAGAAATTCATCTCAGAAGGGGAGGATAGAGGAAGACATTTATGATGAAATGATGTCAACCATTGAGGGCCTCAGTTCAACAAAGTATGCAGTATCTTATTGTTTGAGAATATCTCTTTTCTTTGAGAATAATCTTCACTCTCAATTTTAAACTCATATAAAAAATTTACTTCTCAAAAATGAATAGTTACCAGGATTCTTGTCTTGCCTCTCTTTTGGTTTTTGTTTGTTTTTCAGTTATTTTAGATCCTTTTTGGTTTTAATTTGAATATCAGAGGGTATTACTGCATTATTATGGCAAAAAGCCAATGGTTACTATAGCTGTTTGATGTGGGGTGACATGAAATAGCAAAATGTTTGTTTCTTAGGACTGTCCAAAGTTATGGGCTGAACTGCAGTGTGGATGGTATAGGAAGTTAATACTTGTGTTCTGCTGATTAAAATAAGAAATATCAGGAAATTGGGTGTAGTAATGAACAAAACCTGTGTATAAAGTCAAACCACACGTTTGGGGGTAGTAACATAATTGCCTTAGTGTCTAGTTGATGGAAGGTAAATGGTGTATGAGTAGCAGGTGGTGCATTTGGCACTATATTTGCATTTAAAAGCAGACAAACACAGGCAGTGCTGTTTGTGGTTGGTGTTTGTTTTGTTTTTAATTTAAAATAGTATTTAAATTGCTATCAAATGTAAACCACTGGATTCAAGAAGAAAAAAAAAATTCTTTCATCTGAATCATAGCATGGCTGTTAACACTGAACCTCAGCTATTCCTAATGTAGGCTTGATATTATTTAGGGGAAGTTTTTGGAAGCTGTGAACCATCTCTAACATCTGCTGTTATACTTTAGTGTTTGTAAACCTCTAGGCAAGACCTGGGGTTACATTTTGCATGTAACTGGTAGGTGCTGGAGCCTGTGTGAGTGTTCTGGATCTGCCTGTCAGCTACATAACAGCGTAACTGCTCTTGTGCTATGAAACATTAACAGCTTGCAGAACTGTCAAATGTGTGTAAAACAGTGGCACTCTCAACCTGTATACTGTGGTGTCTCAAGTACAATGATGATTTTGCATAATCTCCTTGGCCTGTTGGTGTATGTTTTGTAATGTGTGTCTCTCTAAATGCAGCCCATGGTGTGGCAGATCGGATGACTTCTGTGGGTTTTCACTGATTTTTGCAGAACCCAGTCTTGAAAAAGAGGTTGGTAAAATCAAAATAATCCTTTTCGGTCTTTGATTTACACTTCAGAGCAGCATAAGAATATATTTTAAACTGTTTTTTTTTTTTTCTGAAACTGGATTCTGGAGGTGACTGCACACCCAAAGAGATTTTTGGTAACTAAAGGAAAGCACATCTTACGATTCGTTAGAGTTGGTCATTCTTTCATGAGAATGCTAATTCTGTAGATTAAAGGAGATTGTCTGTAATCTGTGGTTAAATTCTTGCCATAAAGGAGTAAGTAGGAGTTTGGCAACTTTACAATATGAAGAACTTCTCTCGGAAGCAATAAGCTTTAAAAAAAATTAAAAATAAAAAAACATAAATATTTCTACATCCATAATGAAAGTACTTTGAAAATACTTTGCTTTCTGTGGTTGTTTCTTTCCAAGTATAATGCTATTTGTTAGGTACAGTGTACATTTCCTGTTTGATTACCTGTTCTTTAGTTTAATGTGCTGGGGTGCACTGCATGTAGTTATTGCAGGGGTGGTAGGATGCATACACACTTTAGGTTTATTTCTGTGTATATCCTTTTCTTATAATGATTTTTGCTCTGCTCTGTGAAGCACTGATTTGTGTACTTGCTGGATTTCCCTCTTTGTCTGAAATGGTCTTTTGGACTAGGTGTTTTTTCTTGACAGATGTTTGAGTGAATTTTATTTGGTTTTCTTTCATTCCCTTTTAGTTGTATGTACATTTTTAATGATACAGTGTAAATCTGCATATGTGTATCATCACAAAAATTTAACAGAATTTTAAAACAGCCTGGAATTAATCTTTAAGATTTATTATGATTTGTGTTTCAGTATCGCACCATTCCAATCTTAAAACTGAAGAGTTACTTTGCATGTGCCAGTTTCGTGTTCTTCTGTATATTTCTGATACAGATGTTCATAATGCCAAAGTAAGTGTCAATATTTTAATAATTTATAATTCAAGTTAACCAATAGCTAAAGTGAATCTCATGTGCATGAAACTTTTTACAGTCTTTTGGAGTTCCTGACGGTTTACATTTAAGGAATAGATACCTCTTAGGACTAATTTACACCTTAATAAAGGAGTGCAGTCATGATGTTGGCATAACTGCCTAGATAGCAGGATGAAAATAAAATAAAAATGTTTCTTTAATAATATTTTTGCTTACTGCACACATGGAGGTGTTCAGTTAAATAAGAAATCCTATTTTACAAGAATAGTTGGCTGTGAGCATATTAAAATACGAGTGAGCAATGAAAATTGGATTACCTGGTTAAATATGTTAAGTGACCCTTTTGTCTGTAGAAATACAAGGAGGGAATTTTGAGCTGCTTCTCATACTCTAAGAAAGCAGATATTTGATAATTCTGAAGTTTATGGTGTATTTGGTTTTCATGGCTGTTGCAGTGCAATTTCCATGTGGTTTATGCAAGGGGTGGCAATTCAGGCTGTCAGTGAGCAATGGAATATCTTAAAGTAGTATTTGTGCAACAGAGCAACAATAACCTGTGCAATGGTATGGTCATCCAGTGCTCTTAAAGAAAAATTCTATTTCAATGTAGAGAAACAGTGTTAGCAAACGTTAGTTTAAGTTGTGGTTTGATTCTCCCCTTCTTTCCCTATTTAACACTGGTTTGTTTTATGTTTTCTGTTTAGAACTGCAAAACTGGGAATTTCCTTTGGCATTGTCACAGTCATCATTGTACTCATTTTGTTTGTATGCTTTGCTGAGAAATGTGTGGTAAGTTAATTTAAAACCAAGAAAAAAAATCCTGTCTTCAGAAGCAGATGTAGGTAATTCAACATCTTGGTCTATCTTTTAGGATGATGAATTAAGCTGTTAATTCCAGTAGGAATTACAAGAGCCTTGAGTCTTGGCTTATCAGAAGATTTTATTGCCTGAAACAGATTTTCATGTCTGAAAATTCTCACTGTAATTCAGAATTATTTGGATGGCAGAATAGATGGGTGCGAGGAAGATAATGCCTGCTGAGTGGGGCTGGGGGTTTTAAATTTATTTTTATTTGTATGTTTGTCCTTAACAGTAGTTTTGCTTTTAAACTTGATATTTTCTATACTGAAAAAAATACTAAAATAAAAATAAGTTTGAATGAAGGCTTTGATAATAATTCATAAGGTCCCATGAAAATTACAAACCTGAATAATTTATTGGCAAAAATTTCACAGCTGTTAGAATTCCAAATTCACCATTACATCCATTAGGCCACTTTGCATTTGTAGTTCCTTTTTCTTTGCATTATTAAATATGTATGCAATTACTGTATAAAAAAGTGCATAGTGATGTAGAGACAGCCCATAGTGGCATGGGCCCATAGTGACACAGGACACGTTCAATGATACAAAATAAAGAAAATCCTTCTCCAGTCCAAGAACTACCTGGAGGCAGGGGTGAGAAAGGGAAGGGATTTTTAGGGAGTTCTTCCACTTGTCAAATCTATGTTGCGCTAAGCCAAGGGTGTGAGGGAATTCTGAAATTCTGTTGAGAGCATGGCACCATCACCCTGCAGCCCAGTGGTGGTGGTGCTCTTGCAGGGAAACTGGCACAGAAATACACTGTCCCTTACAGAGCCACGACTGAGTTGTGTAAAAAGGAAAGAAAACACCAATATGATTACACTCTGTACACAGGGTAAAATTTTATGATTAATTTAAAAGTAACAGATAGTATGTATAGATTTTATGTATGTATAGTGTTCATATATATATATATGTACGTATGGCTGGGGTTTTATGTATGTTTGTCTATGGAGAGAAAGAGGGAAAAGTGTGTGTATATGTGTGCATGGGTGTTTTCTACATATGAAAAAACACATGGAGAAAAGAAAAAGAGAATTCCAAGACTGTAATTGCATCAGGCTGGAGTTTTACACTGGGGAGTGTTTTGGTATAGCACCTTGAATAATCCTTGCAATTATGAAAAGCATGTGCTTTACTAGATGCTTTTCTATATAGCAGCAAGTGGAGTATATAAGGATGGCAAGAAAGGGGACCATCTACGATGGGTTTTGATTCAGTCGTCTGGCAAGGTAGTTCCAGATACAACATTACAGCTCAATAACACCCCCCCCCCCCCCAAACAACATAGGTTATAACTGTATTTTTAGTAACATTTCTCTAGAGCTTTCAATCAGATTATAATTTTGCATTTTTAAAGCAGAAATTAAGAAAAGTTTGGGACCCAGTTTGAAGTAAGGAAGCATTATCTCTATTTTCAGATGTGAAAAAGTGTTAGGTATTTGATCAGAATTACTAGCTTCAGAGTTTTAAATTAGAATTCCAGTGAAGACTCTTGACACTCTCCTGCAAGAAAAAAGCATTTTATATTTAAAACTCTTTTTGCCCTTGTATCAAAGTGTAACCCATGCTACTAAAACAACCTAATTCTGTTTACAGAAGCGCTGCTCAGAACGTTGGTCTTTCCTGCGCCACCTTTGTGCTATCTCGGAAAAGGTGGAAACAATGCCTTTACTCAGGCTTCCCTTAGCAGTCATTACTATTGGTGCCTTGCTGATTATAGCCATTTTTAATTTTGTAAGTAATCACTTTATTCTGTGAATTTATTGTAAGATACACAGTTTAAGTAACTTTGTGTATTCTTTTCATCAAGTACTGTGCTTTTTGCTGCTTTTTCTAATGTCTGATTTGCAACGTGAGTTGATGTACACAAGGGTAATGCATGATGACATGTAAAAGCATTAGAAGTAAAAACTCCCAGTTTGTAGAACTGAAAGTGCATGTGATAGACTTGAATTCTAGTTTACACCACCTTTTCTTGCTTTCGAGATGGAATTTATAATTACTACTGGTTGTAATCATCATCACTAAGATGGTCTTCCATTTTTCTTAATGTGGGTTTAAATGTTTGGCTGAAGCTGGAAGAAGTGTTAAGCAGTTTACTGTGCTACTTGCTAACATAATATTAATGCAGATGAGGAAGGAAGAATATAGCTTGGCTCTCTTAAGACGCAAGATATTGTGGGTAGTTACTGCTAGACTATGATGCAAATGGCATTGGTCTTTTACCTGTAGTTTGAATATTGTATTGAACCTGGGATATATGCATTTGAAAAACAACACTTTGGAGTTACCTCATGATCAAGGCCACTCTGCTGTGTTAATTTTTCAAACAAGTCGTATGTAACACATTATGTTAAGAGTTAAACCTACTATTTGACCAATTTGGTGGCTTTCTATGATGGGGCTATGGAACTGATGGACAGGGGTAGAGCAGTTGACGTCATCTGTCTGGATTTGTGCAAAGCGTTTGACACTGTCCTGCATGACAGGAGGAAGTTCTTTACTGTGAGGGTGATGAGGCACTGGAATGGGTTGCCCAAGGAAGCTGTGAATGCTCCATCCCAGGCGGTGTTCAAGGCCAGGTTGGACAGAGCTTTGGGTGACATGGTTTAGTGTGAGGTGTCCCTGCCCATGGCAGGGGGGTTGGAACTTAAAGTTCTTTCCAACCTTAACTATTCTATGATTCTACCTGATAGCCACCTACTAAAAGTGATGTCCTTCTGATCCCTCGTGCTTCATCTGCCGTTCTTCTGATTCCATGGGGAGTTTCTTCTGAAACTCTGCAAGAAATGCTTAATTTTTGTTTCTGTAGGGTTATTTTTCTGGTGGCTTTGGTCCTTGAATTGTCTCAGTGATGTCCTGTGAACACCACCTGTTCTGGGTTCGCAGTAGCAGTCATTTTTCTCCTTCTTAGCAGTTGGTGCAGTGCTGTGTTTTTGACTTCACTTTGAGAACAATACTGATAACAAACCAATGTTTTTAGTTGTTGCTCAGTAGTGCTTACCCTAACCAAGGACTTTTCAGTCTCATGCTTTGCCAGTGAGGAGGGTCACAAGAATCAGGGAGGGAGCAGAGACACAACACCTGTCCCCAACCAGCCAAAGAGGCATTCTATACCACAGCACGTTATGCCCAGTATATAAACTGGGGGAGTCACCCAGAAGGCCCAGATTGCTGCTCAGGTCGGGCTGGGTGTTGGTCAGCAGGTGGTGAGCAATTGTATTGTGTATCACCTGTGTTTATTGTTTTATTTTCCCCTTTTAGTTTCCTATTCTCTCCCTTTTTATTTCTCTTATTATTATTGGTGGCAGCAGCAGTAGTAGTTTTGTATTGTAGCTTAGTTACTGGACTGTTCTTATCTCAACCAATGGGATTTGCATTCTTTTGATTCTTCTCCTCATCCCTCTGTGAGCGGGGGAGAAGAAGGGAAAGGGAGTGAGCGAGTGGCTGCGTGGTTCTGAGTTACCAGCTGGGCTTAAACCATAACGGCACCAGAGACAGACTAGAAGAAAACAGGAGCAACAGCTGTGAACGGAGGCGTGAGACAGAACCACACGCTTGTGCTAGTTAGCTCCTAGCTGAGTGTGGTCATAATATGAAACTTCACCCTAAATGAAAAAATAAGTAACTACTCAGCAATTTTAACCTTCTTGCACCTTGTGTGTTCATGTATGTTTACTACAGCTATATGGGATATCACTGTATTTCAACACTTACATCGCAGCAGCACTGAGAGGGCAACCAGATCAGGACTCATTGTATAACATATGGAGAAAAACTTAACATTAGTGACTACCTGCTAACAAGTTTCTAAGGTGGTTTTGTTATTGTTCTTTTTTCCCCAATAAATCAAGACCACTGAAGGGTACAAACCTGCAAACTTTACTGGATCAGATGACCTGGGTGCTGCCACCTATGTGAGTATTGTCTTAATTTCTAAGATTAAAATAAAATCAGTTTTGAATGGTGTGTATAATATAGATGGACGGCAGCATTTTGATATCCTTAATCTTTTTATAAAGGTAGAATTTTTAAATCATTAAACACAAAGACTTATTCATGCCACAAGGTAGTCCAAGGGATATTTTCTATTTTTAGCTATGGCTTTACTATGCATCTCTTTTTTGAATTTTTCAGAAGTCTGGCGTACTCATGGGTAAAGCTGGAATAGTGGCTTATTTTGGTTACTCAGCACCTTTGAAAGGTGTTCTTGAGCATTTCAATAAGGATAGATTCATCATTTGCTAGTGACACAAAAGGATTATTTCTGGGGGTTTCATTTTTTTTACCTCTTTAATTCCAAAGTAGCAATCTATTTTCAGATTGTCCAAATGTTGGGGATGCTCTTAGATACCTTTTAGATGCTGGCATGTTTGTGACCACAGTGCAGCAGGCTGTGTGAGGGCCCTTTCATTCAAGTCCTTATAATAAAAGATGTTACGCGTACATAATGCACATTGTGCTCATCTGGTAATTTCTGTTCTTGCATGTCTGTAAATCAGCCTTTTGGAAACACAACTCAATCCTGCATTGAGGAAACTGTAAGTAGTGAATACATGTTACTTTGAAACCCAGATCTTTGAATATTGTATGTATTACTGACAGCTGGCAGCTTCTGTTCCTGTATAAACCAGCTTTTTTAGGTATGTGACAACAGAAAAGTTCTTCATGAAATCAAGATGTTTCAGCTGCTGTTGCTTTGCTGAATAAAGTATGGGTTTGCAATTTTTGATATTTCAGACTTAAAAGTAGATCTAAAACTTTGAGGAAAAAGTGTTCTCTAGGTAGTGGCTTCTTTTTCAGAGGTTTTTCAGTGGTTTCTTTTTCAGGGTTAAAAGTTTTGAGTGTTCATTATCTTTTGGAAGTTAGACTCAATGCCTTTAGGGTGACAGAGTTGGTATAATACAATACTATATGGGCTCTGATCCTGAACTGCTGTATACATTGTTCTAGTTTCATTCACTTCAGCAGAAGTGAGAACTGCTTAGCCAAGAACCTCCCAGATCTGAGGTAGTTCTGTGCTGTTGTGGGTGAAAATCTGTGCTTTGTACATAACGAGAAATAAACTCTTAAGGAGCAGAAGCTGAGGTAATTTTGGAGTTGTTTGTAGACTAAAGAGTGCTAGCTCAGTGTCCTCTACCTGTGCCTGTGGCTGCACGGAGTAATCCTGTCTGCCCAGCGCACTTTGTAGCACCTTACAGTTTCAGTGCTTCTGGCTGCATGGTGACCTCAGACACCACACTTGAACTGCGATTCTCTAGGAGATTTTGCAGTAATTCCCTTGGATAATGGTGGCAGCTTGATGATGCCTATGAGCATCGAAGTTCTTACGAAGAACCTGTGTCTAAGGCTGGTAACAGGTCAAGGTCTTCCCATGGTATAGGTGTGAGAGATGGGAATGTGGTATCTGCTTAAGGTTATAAAGGGGGAGCACTGTCAAGAATAGAGCCAGAATGCCACGGTCTGTTCACTAGACCATGAGCCTGCTTTAGCTTGAACTTTAAAGAAACAATTGCTTAAATTAATAGCCTTCAGAAGATAAATTCTCAATGCTCTTCAATTTTTATCTGATGCTGCTTATGTTGGTGTGATCCTTTTTCTTTGCCTTAATTAAAAAAAAAAAAAGAAACACTTAAAGAAGAAAGTATTAAGTTCAGCCTTTAGTGTAATTAAAAAAAAAAAAAAGCTATAAGTGTATTTAGCAAGTGATTGTAATTTCTTCTACCTAAATTATAATGATTGTGAATTTAGAACATTTGTTTGAAGGCCTCTTAGGCATAAAGCCTGAATAATTCAACTGCTCTTTCAATTCTTCTTTTACAGTATTATGCTTACTGCTGCATATTGGCGTTCATCGCTTGCTCTGTATTTCTCCAAATAAGTTTCGAACTCAAAGTTCTCCTCCTGTCCATTGCTGTGACCGTGTACCTCATCATTTTCAATACCCTTCAGCACAGAAACTTGAGCTTTTATGGCAACAGTACCAGGTGCAGTGTGAGGTTTTTTATAATTGACAGTAATGTTTCATTAAAGGTGTTAGATTTTTCTACACTTAGAGGAATATTGAAATATCAAAAACATGTAAGCTGGACATTAAAAACTTTTCTGTAAAGTTAATGACATGGATTTATTTATTTATTTATTTAAGGAAGTGTGTTTTCTGAAAAATTCGATAATATGGCTTCTGAGAGCTCTGTAAGCTCACCTTAAGTTAAAGGCTAGGGGGTAGAATATTAATCTCATAATAAGGTTGATTTTCTGTTAAACTATGAAGAAAAGCCTTGCTAAGGTCTGATGTTCCAGCTGTACTTATGAGACCTTGCTAGTCAGTAGGAAAGTGAACTCTTTGTTTACTTTACTAATGCACGTATTTTGAAAAGTAACAGCAATTTACCAAACTGTAAAAACACTTAAGATAAATCTTATTAAAGGGTTTTATTGTTCATTTGTAAGTCTGTCTCAGATTCTCAGCATAGTCTCATAGCTGAAGATTAGGAAGAATTTATTTTGCAGAGGCTATGAGCTGTCAGCACAGCTTAAAAAGCCTAAGTGAGCTCATAATTTAGCCTAGGCTATTCATATAATGAGAATTTTGTTTCCATTTGTGAAAATTAGTAGATGTGATAAGGCAGACTAATCTTACTATGAACTATGAGTGGCCTCTCAGATTTGTATGGAACTATATACAGGTGTGATTTCTAATGGCTGTCTTTATTTTAGCAATTCAGGTTTTTTTTTGTTATCGTCTTTCCTTCCATATATATGAAATTTCTCTTCCTACTTCCAGGTTGTGTTGGCTGTGTTTCTGTGGGGCAGTGTGGGGTGGAAAGCTGCAACTTGGTGCAGTGGAAATGAAGATGGCTCCATTATGATAAAGCCATGTTTACTTGAGCACATCACTATACTAGCTACTAAACAAGGTTTCAGCACCCATTTTGTTGTTGGGAAACGCAGTTCACGTGCTTAATTGAGTGATAATCCTTTCGCATTGTTAGAATAGGGCCTACAACCAGATAGCCACTGGCACAAATGAGCAATGGCATTAGTGGTGGATGTCTGAACAAGGACACCCTTGTCTGCTGTGCTCTTCTTCTTCTCCTCTTCCCCACCCCCAACCCTTAATCATGTGGATTTTCTTAAAGGATACAGATGAGTTTGTATTGCTTTCTTATTTTCAGGCTTTTCATCAAAGAGCCAAGGATAACGACTAATTTATATCTGGTTCTGTTTTACATAACCCTGATTTTACTTGCAAAACAGGTATGTATTTAAAAAGCAATAGGTTAGTTCTACTTGCAGCAAGTTGATTTAAATAAAATGCAAAAGTGTTGTTCATTGAAATTGTGCTCTAAATGACTACATATTTGGATCATTTTAATATATTGTACTTGGTTATAGATAATGAGCTCACTTGTACTTACAGATAATATAAAACTTTTTACTGTGTAGGGGTGGGATCATCCTTATATTTTGCAACAGTGTTTGCATTACAGAAGTCACAACTTTAAAATTCTTTCACTTTGAAACTATCTTTATTTTTATGTCAATATTAGTTATAAATATAGGCAGCAATTCAGGATAAAAATGATTACCATATTATTAAAATGTCATTTTGGTAAATATACCTGGTATACTTATACTGACTGCTTCATATTTTTCTGACCTTCATTCTCAAAGCATGTTTTTTGTAACTACATGGGCTCAAAAGGAAGGCCTGGAAGAAACTTTATTGTTACTGCACTTTTGAACTAAATTGATTAATATTTATCAGCAAGATATTATATGGCTTTAATTTATCATACTTTGTCCCTTTGCAGATTGACTATTACTGTCGACTGGATTGTCTGTGGAAAAGTAAGTTTAAAAAAGAACATGAACAGTTTGAAACAATGGAGAATGTTAACAGGCTTTTGCTGGAAAATGTGCTTCCAGCACATGTTGCTGCATATTTCATCGGTGAAAAACGAAATGAGGTATGTTTATTCTCTGCTATGTGAAGGATGGTAAATTGGACTTATGTGACATAGAATGCCATGTTAACAAGCACACAGAAGTCTGTAAGGGTATGCAATGTTTGTCTCTTCTTTATATCCCAAGACCTTTGTCAACACAAGAATCTGCTGTCCAGGTGGCTTTAAAAAAAATGCCAACATTTAGTGTTGGCCTCTGAAATCTGTTTTGAGAATTGATAGTCCAGCTTCAGGATACAGTTTGAATTTGGCAAATATTTGAACAGGGTTTACTGCCTTCCAAAGACCGTATTTTACCACAGAAGATAGCCTTCCTTCTAAAAAGAGATAGTATCACCTTGATAACAACCTAGTGAGAAGTTGATTGATGTTTTTCTATTCAAAGACATCTGTCTTATTCTGCCAGCATGCCATTAGAATAAATATTGCTGATATCACAGCCATGGTGAGTGTCAAAAGACTGGTACTGTCGAAAGTAGATGAGAATCTTTAAGATACACAGATATCTCAGATTTTCTTTAGGCAAGTCATTTTTGTTGATGTTTCTGATAAAATGTAGTATGTCCACTGTAAAGTACTGGGGATGACTTCATGGAATATTGTAATTTAGATAAGTGGTTACAAACAATAATCATAGTTTTGAATACCTGTGGTGGAAAGTGGCTGCTGACAACATGTGAATATATTGTTTTCCTGTAGGACTGGTACCATCAATCTTACGACTGTGTGTGTGTCATGTTTGCATCAGTACCAGATTTTAAGGTGTTTTATACCGAATGTGATGTCAATAAAGAAGGCCTGGAATGCTTGCGGCTGTTAAATGAAATCATTGCTGATTTTGATGAGGTAATTAAGTTTCTGGCAAAAATGGCCTGGACTACATATTTACTACAAAATACGGTGTTTCACTACATCTGTGAGCACTGGGGTGGAGGGAAGGCTGTTACGCTGAACTAAATTCTGTCTTCAGCCTTGCTATCTTGAAAGATATATTCCCACCTGATGGGTGTTTTTCAGTTACATCACCTAATGCGTCTGCAGTATGGTTTGAAAGTCCTGAATTCCAGGACTTTCAGTACTTCAGTGCTTTTATTTCTCCTGTAAGCAGGTAGAGCAAAACTGTGAAACTAATGCTCAGTACTTTATCTGACCTTCATGTGATTGATAGTATTCCTAGACATCTTTAATGCTTATTGTAGACAGTAAAAGATTTCTGGCTAAATCCCACACTGAAATATGGTATTAAAGTCTCAAGTTTCTGTTTTCCTTCCCTTCAAAACCAGCTCCTGTTAAAACCTAAGTTCAGTGGCGTTGAAAAAATAAAGACCATTGGAAGTACTTACATGGCAGCAGCGGGCCTCAGTGTTACACCTGGCCAAGAGAACAGCCAGGTGCGTTGTTGCTGAAATCTGCCCTGGGCATTCTCTGTGTACCGGGGTGCATTTCAAGGTAACAAAATGTAATGTGATATCAAAAAGAAAATAAATCTCCAAGAGTGACTTTCTGAAATATGGAAAAATAGTATAAAAGTGCACTGTCTGCTGTTGAACTCGCTATTTGTCTCCTAGTTCCGTATTTTTTTTTTTCCTAAGTTCATATTAAACCTATAACCCCAGCATACTTTTTACATCTTTAATCTTTGATTCCAGTAGCTTAACATTTCTGGATGCATAATAGGATAGCTGTCATAATAGAGAGGCCAAAGACAAGGCCATCTCAGAGCTGGACAGTAAGCTTTTTGTCATACCTCTTAACTGGCACATAAAGGGAATCCTCAAGTGCCATGTTAGATCTGAATCAGAAACTGTCTCCTAGAAGAATACAAAGCCGATTTCTGTACTCAGGCTCACTTTCACAATCACAGGTTTGCGTGTGACGTTAGGATGCACATACTTAGTATCTACAAAACGTGTAAAATGAAACCTGGAATCCCAAAGGCCAGTCAGAAATTCATTATAAAATTAAATCATGCCATGCTTATTGCCTCACAGCCATTCTGGTTCAATTTATGTAGTTTTAAAAATCCATTCTGAATGTTTGTTGAATGTGCAATTCTACACAGTGACAAGGGTGAGTGCACTCATCCTTGTAAGTACATACTTTATGTGCTGATAGTACTATTTTGGAATAGTGGCCTGACATAACCTTCTGTGTCACGATTTGATCATTAATATGCATTATGAACTACACAGGATAAGGAGAGACAGCATGCTCACATTGGGATTATGGTGGAATATGGGATTGCCTTGATGAATAAACTGGACGGCATCAACCGACATTCCTTTAACAATTTCCGCCTTCGTATTGGTAAGTTCAGTTTGTGAAGAACATGAACTCTGCAGTAAAAGTTAAAAATGAGGTAGGATAACACAGGTAAATTGCTGAGTGCTGGGGAGCTCTTCTTACCACTGAACACTGTCTTTGTATTGTTATAAAATGATGAATAGCTGAAGGCAGTGCTGTCTAGTCTAGCTTTTTATACGTGCCAAGTTCCTTCATGGATGGGCTGTTCTAATCACTGGAGGGAGTATTATGAACGCTGCAGCTGGATGAGTTTGGAGAACATTAAAGGTACAGATGGAGGGTGAAATACCCTCTTATTAACTGTTAACTAAAGACGGAATTGTCATTACACAAATGTTTATTTTTGTGTGTTACAAGGAAGAATTTTGCTTTGGCATGAACTGTGCCCTAGTTCTTTCTCAGACTTCCCATTTTACACCGAATGAGTCATTTCACATCTCCTGAGCGACAGTGCTAATATTTATAGACCAGTGGCAACACCACATGCCAGAAATGTGTGCAGGGTAAAGGGGTTGTTTTGGCTTTCTTTTCCCCTGAAGCTCATGACTTGCAGCTAATACTGAAGGTAGAGATCACATCACTTTCTGCTTAAGTAATGACACCTGCTCTTGTTTATGCAGGGATAAATCACGGCCCTGTGATTGCTGGTGTGATTGGTGCTCGGAAACCTCAGTATGACATCTGGGGGAACACTGTCAATGTTGCCAGCCGCATGGAGAGTACGGGGGAGCTTGGGAAAATCCAGGTAAACATATGAGTCTGGAATGTCTAAGACATTATTTCTGATTGTTTATTGTGAATAATCAGAAGACTTTCACAAGTTTCTCATTCTTTTCCACACAAAGGTCACAGAAGAAACAAGTAAAATACTACAGGAGTTGGGATATTCATGTGAATGTAGGGGACTCATTAACGTCAAAGGCAAGGGAGAACTGAGGACTTACTTTGTTTGCACGGAGATGGCCAAATTCCAAGGTATGGGACTGAACTGAGGCTATGATGAACTTGATCAAAATAGACTTAGAACTCCCTCCCTTCTGTGAAGACTTAGAATTTCTCTCCTTATGTGAAGGACTTACTCTAAAACCATACATATACTATTCCTGTTTCCTCTACGTCTCAAGATAAGAGAATGATTTATTATTATTTTTTTTTTTTTTCAAGAGGAGAAGTTCTGAATAGTTCCTGGAAGGCTCACAGCCACCAGCCTGAAACAGGCTACCTTTTCCTGTATCGATTTGGGGATTTACCTGGAATTATCATGAAGCGTTTTCAGTTAGATCCTTTCCTTACCTGCACTGTGGGAGTTTAACAGCTCCAGTACCAAGAGCTGTGGATGTATAGCAGAACTCGTTACTAGGTTGGAATATTCCACCGCTTGGTTCTGCCCCACACCTGCTTATTACAGTATTGCATTTGTCATGGACAGCGACGTGACGCTGTGGGTGCTGCAGATCCTGCTTTCAGTGCAGACCAGAAGATGATGAATAACGGGACAAGGATTGCAAGTAAATACATCCTGTGACAACTGTGCTGAGCTCCTTCAGGAAAAAAGAATTGCACATCATGGAATCCCTGTTTCCTTGTCTTTGTCTCCTCCACAGTAGTACCTTGTACTAAACAAATGTTTTCGTGACCAACATCTCTTCAGAGCTAAATTTCACCCAGCTTGGCATGTTTACATTACATGTCCTCTGTTGTGTTTCCATGCGTCTGTACTGGTTATCTACATGCACATTCTGTATGGTCACGTAAGTGAGTGTTAAGGCTTTAGATGTAGAAACATAGACTTGACCTCAAGGAGCACTGGTCTCCTGCGGTTTGTCCTGGTGCTTTATTAGACAGGATCCGAGGGCAACTTGTGTTGCTGGCACCAGCGGTAGCTCTGTATGCTTGCTGCATTGAGGGCACTTATGGGATCAAAAATAACCCGGTTTGAATTGTTTGGACTGAAGAACAGATTTATAAGGTCAGATTAGCAGCAGTAGCAGATACTATAGAAACAGAAGTGTGTTAGAGGTGGCTTTGGGTTGTTTTTTTTTTTTAAATGTTCTTATTTCCTCCATTTGACTAGCCTCTGCCTGGCTTATGTACCTTTTAAAGGCAATGCAGTTTATGAAGCAGATTGGGTCTGAAGGCTTCGAAAGAATGTGGGGAAAAAATGTATTCATAATAGAAACATTTCAGCAGAGCCTCAATACTGGAAGTACATGCAGAGTGTTAGATCATTGCGGAAATGGACTTGTTGACATTGGTTTTGTTTGTTAACTCTTACACTGTTAATGGCTTTTGCTGTTTTTTAAATTGCATTATTCTACTTACTGCAGTCACTTAGTCTGTTTTCTGTTGGTGGAGATGGTAGTATTTTGTAAGGCTAACAGCTTGTACCCAATTATAGGTATTAACTAAAGATGGATCCCCACTCCCCGATACACCACATATGGTATGACTATGCAGCATGGTGGTTAAGTTCAACATCCATTTTGTTAAGCCTTACTCTTCTACAAAGCAGTGTTTACTAATCTTTCTGGGTTTAGTACTAACTGGTACCAAAAAAGTGTTTAACAAGCGGTTCTACGCATCACTGCCACTTTCCAATTACTGTGTGATTTCTTTAGATGAAGTGACTATTTCAAGACAGGCAGAAATCTAAGTACTGCCCAGCTATGGATTAAACATTGCGCTTCTAGCCTTTGTCAATTTGGTAGGTCAAACCTGTGCCTGTAGCAAGTCTCCAACAAGAAATGGCAGGTTAGAAACTTTGAGGTTGACTGGGTCACACATGGACTCACTGAAGGACATTTTGTACTTTTCGTGTTAGTGTAAAGTCAGTGTTGTAGTTGAATAAACTTTAAAGTGGCTTTTGCTACTCCTGTATGTTGTAGTTACAGATGCTCAGCGAGCGCTTGTTTTGAGATACTGTTTTCTAAGGACCATGCGTGCCTCAAAGGCTCCTTTTGGTCACTGATACTGTATGCTAGGTGAAGTGACTGTTTGCCTCATGAATGTTTTGCCAAGTGCATTGTGCCTGAGGCTGGAGCTGGCTTTTAAGTGTCCCTGGTCACAGACCTTGTAGGATGTAGATGTGTTATATCTGTGAAAGAAAATTCCCTGTAACAGCATTTTAAAATGCTTTTATTTACACTGTACTGCCAACCTGCTTGGGCATAACTTCAACTGAAGCTCACTTCCAGAAGGGATGTAGAGAGCTGCAGCTTCCAAATGGGACAAACTTGGAGTGTTACATGTTTAAGAGGACACAATGCCACTTGCACTGCTCACCCAGTGTCTGTGTGCTATACAAGGCATACCTGGGACGTGAGATGGCCTGTCACAAAGGAGTTGGATCTGGGGATGACAGAGGACTGATTTCTCATCAGAACTGGAACTGTGTAACATGAGAGCTACATTCAATCACCGAAAAAGTTCAATTTAAGCAGCAGCTTATAATTGTTTTCAACAGTCCTTGTGAGAGCAAACTGTGAAATTTAAGATCAAGGAATAACCTTGTTAGCAAAATCTCTCTTTACAGCATTATTGTTTCCTTAAACTAAAAAACTGGCACTGTGTCTCACTTGAAAAGCTAGTAACATCTTGAACTAGCAGTCTATTTTAAAGAACAAACTTTTGATTTTACTATTAAATAAAAAAATTCCTAAAACTTCTTTGGGTCTGCAGTGATTTTAAGATTCCCATGAAAAGGAAGAGATTGCTTTTACTTGTAAAGTCAACATCTTTACTTCTTGTTTTTTAAAGTGTGCAAGTGGAAAATATCCTGTAAAATCTCTTGTCAACAGCTACAGAATAGTTTCAATACTTGGTTTTCTGTCCTGTGTGCACCTGCTGCACTATCTGCAATGTGAAAGATGGGAAGGGAGAGGCATTGTGCTTGTGCCTTTGGTCTTCTCTTATAGCATGGAAATGACCTAAAATACCCACGGAAAAAATCATGCACTGGAACAGTATCTCAGCTGCAATTACCAAGACTGACTTGTGAAAAAATTCCAGTGGTTTTGAAGTTTTATTAAGAAATTATCTGGGACAACTGGAACTACGGGAGCAAAACCCAGGGTGAGAGTTCTGTCCTCCTGGGATGAATTTTAATTGCAGAACTTTCAAAACAATTGAACATTCCTGTGGCTGTTTTTAGAGAGGTGGAGGGAGGGAGTGTAGGGATGATGCTGAACTGGGAGTAGGGGTGGAGCTCACCATGATACTTGGCCTCTGTGTTACATAGTAGTCCAGTTCCATGCCTCTGCGTGTTCTGTGGTTGCTCAGCAGAGGAACTAGCACGCTGCACGTCATTCCTGGCCACATCCAGGGTTATACTGGGAACACAGTGCAAAAGCAGCAGTATCTACAACTGCTTCAGGATGCCTATGGTGAGCCTACTGCCCGCCTATGGGAGACTGATGAGCACAGGGCACACCCTGCTTGTGCAGTGACATGGAGGTGCCTGACTTCTCCTCAGTGCCCAAAAGCTGTATGGTCAGTCTGCTTTGGCAGTGGTTTGGTGACGAGGAACTCGACTTTTAATGCTAGGTGTTTTTCAACTAGATGCTCCTTTCTGACAAGCCAGCCTAAAATTATCACGCAGGTAATGTTCAGCAGTACCTCCCAGTAATATCGCCTGTGTGAGATTCTCAGAGCTGACTACCCTGTAGCAGTGCGATACTTCACTTGCTGGCAGCAAGCGGGTGGGTCTGTCTCCCCTCACCAGCATGGTACGTGCCTCGGCTTGCCCTCAAGCTTTAAGAACCCTGGGAGCAGATGGTGGTGCCTCGCTGAGATGGCTCCACATTCAGAGTCTCCCACAGCTGATCTTCTGTTAAGACAGGGTCTGTTGTTTGTATTTAAAAAGTTTATTTCTTAAAAAGTTTATTTCTCTTCCTTGTGATCATTGGAGTTGCACAGTCATTTTAAAAAGGGACACTTGCCTGTTCAGGTACTACTGATTTCTGCCCCAACCACACTGAGACATAGAGACTATAGAATGCTTTTAGGAACTGCTGGTTGAGTCCCTGACCCATATACAGGTACATTTTCACTTATGCTTTGACTTTTCCAGACATTTAACAATCCAGGAAAACTTAAAACACATCAGAGGCACCGAGGAATGCCAAAAGAATAATTTAGTGCATTTATGTAGTAGACTTAACTCTAGTACAAACCATTCAAGTGTCACCAGTCCCCAGAATTCATGAACAAAAGTAATTTAACACACAAAGTACACGTGCCAGGTGAACGCACCTGAAGGAGGTTCATTTAGACGGCTGTAAACTGGACCAGAGCCTCAGACTGTGACTGGGCCACACTCTCTTTCCAGGATGGTGACAGTCTTCTTAGGTTCTTGAAAGTCTGAAAGGTTACAGTAGGTACCAGGTCAGTTAGCACAGGAAATGCCTAAATGCAACACATACTCCCTAGAGTTCTCCTGGCATCTGCTACTGGTGCAGTCTCAAGTCAGCTACACACTCTGCACAAGCCAGAGTATCTGCACTGGTCTGTACTGAAAATGCCATGTGTCCTCACTTGTAGAGTGCTATGGAAAATACTCAACACTTCTACAGCTGAAATTTCTTAAGCAGTTTTCTTGCAGAGGTAAGTTCCTGAAGTAATCCTGTGCTTCTTAGTAAGAAATATCTTAACTGCAACCACAGATTGAATAAATTTGTTGTGTTTGTTAGTTTCTGAAAAGGAACCACTCGCCTGTTGTGTAGAGTGGGGAGGAACACAACTTTTACCCATCATGTGCCACATGGGGGGAGCTACTCTGGCACTTGGTTTTCCACTGACCTGAATCCTTAAACTCCCCCCAAACCAGCAGTTACTTTTGGCTGGAGAAGCTGAGTTGGCCTGATGCTGTCAACCTACAAAGCAGTGCAGCTGGCCAAACTAAGCAAAGGGCAGGCACAGCCACAAGCCTGGAAAAAGAGAAAGGGTGATATCTGCGCTTAGCAAATTCCATACAACCAGAAGATTAATTCTGGACTGAGACCAAGCACAGCACTTCCCATTTGAAAGAGAATTTAAAAAAGGGGAGAAGAATTGAAAGTTGGAACCAGGTTACTGCAAGTTTTACTGCAAGCCAGGCTAATGATCTGCAGATGTGGTTTTGTTTTAGTTGAACGGATGCTACAATACATCTCTGTACACTCACCCTCTGTCAAATCTACCCAGCTGTCTTCCGTGTCAGGTAAGGGAACTGAAATTCCCATTGCTTTCCGGATTCCGTATGTACTAACAATGTCACCCGGAGTCACTTGTTGTGCAAGTTCTTTCAGGTTATTGGTTACTCTCTCCGCTGGAAAAGATAAGTGGATGCGTTTATATGCTGCATACCAGCACAAAATCCCCAAAATGAGCACTTCACACTGTAAAACCAGCTTAATTGTTTAAATACAGATGCAACTACATTAAGTATTGTATCTGCAGCAGAAGCGGTTTGTTGTACTGCATGCAGTTACTGCAA